AGGGCAGTGTCACTGGCCCTCATATGTGGGATCCGATCCGGGGCCCTCTGGTATCCCAAGCCAGCTCTTAACCATTGCGCCACTCGGCCGGCCCAACTCTTTAATTCTTACTGATTTTCTACATAACAGATTATACTGTCATATTTAATAACATGATCCAGAAATCATTTTTGTGCGTTCGAAAGTACATTAGTAACTTTTGGCAGTCGTTTATTTTCCTAATTATGTAGATTAGTGGGTGAATATCTATTTGTGTTTTCTTATGGACACTGAGTGGTGAGAAAATGTGAGTTGGGTTCATTGGACACAAGGGAGAAGGCTCTAGGATTAAAATTTCACCTTGGCTCACACACACACAAAACACTCCTGTACACAAATGTTCATAGTGTCATTATTCATAATAGCCAAAAAGTGGAAACAACCAAAATGCCCATCAGCTGATGAACAGATGAACAAAATGTGATAATGCAACAGAATAATATTTGGCAATGAAAAGAAATGAAGTACTAATACATGTTACGTGCATGAACCTTGGAAACATGCTTAGTAAAAGAAGCCAGTCACAAAAGGTCACATATTGAGTGATTCCATTTATATCAAGTGTCCAAAGTAGGCAAATCCTCAGAGACAGGAAGTAGGTTAACGGTTGCAAGGGACTTGGGGTATAGGAGTGGTGAGTAGTGCCTGCTAATGTGTATGAGATCTTTTTGGGTGATGAAAATTTTCTAAAATTGGTAGCAGTGATGGTTGCACAACTTTGAATATACTAAAAACCAATGAGTTGTGTACTCAAAAGGGTGAATTATGGTATATAAATTATCGCAATAAAGCTGTTATAAAAAATTGGTCTTGTATAATGTGTGTATACATAATATAAATTTAACATGAGAGTAACAGATGAGAATGAAATAAATTGAGAAACTCTTCAGTCTTCTGTAATACTATAAGATTACAGAAGATTTGCAGGAAAGAGAAAGGTGAACCTGAATTTGCTTTTCTAGCAAGTTAACATTGGGTAGTTGTATGTTTTGAGAGACAGTTAAATTCTTATGATAAACAGAGTTATGTTATTTAAATAGGTCAGTCTTATGAAATTCGGATGCTGGATAATCGGAAAATGGGAGATATGCCTGAGATCACTGGAAAATTGGTAAAGGTAAGGTCCACCCATTAAAATTCCTAAGAGATATTGCAGTGATTTTAAAAAGCATATTTGCTGCAAGAGTTTCTATAAAAACATTATTTACTTTCACTTTAAGAAGTAATGGCTATATTAAAACTCCTAACTTTTTGAGCTATATTTTGGGGTGTTTTGTTTTGTTTTGTTTTTTGTTTTTGTATTTTAAAGATTTTTTATTGGGGAATTNCTTGGGCCAGTGAAGCAACGTCCTCCACAACTAGACTGAAGAACAAAAGGATAGCAACTTGTCTGTTCCCCTTCCCCCAATTCCCCAGTGCTGTTGCCATCCCCTAATTCCCCAATAAAAAAAAAAGAATCTAGTCTGGGGTGTCGCCTCAGATCTGTTCAGGCTGGGCGTGCAAAAACATCAACATGCCTTTGGCTAGAGATTTACTACATCCGTCCTTGGAAGAGGAAAAGAAAAAACATAAAAAGAAACGGTTAGTTCGAAGTCCAAATTCTTATTTTATGGATGTGAAATGTCCAGGTTGCTACAAGATTACCACGGTTTTCAGCCATGCTCAGACCGTGGTTCTTTGTGTAGGTTGTTCAACAGTGTTGTGCCAGCCAATAGGAAAGGCCAGACTCACAGAAGGGTGTTCATTTAGAAGAAAGCAACACTAATGATCCACACAACTTCCTGAATTTGTTATATCACAGAAAGCCTTATCAGTTCAGTAATTCTAGTTAATCTACCAAGATAATGTAATTATATTTAATTTTATAAGTACACAACAGTGATCTCTCCTATTTTGGTGTCAGTTTTTCAATAAAATTTTAATTATGGGCCAAAAAAAAAAAGGAGAAATTAAACCAATAAAAGTCTGATAGTTCTCTCAGTGGATAGTACCTTTGAAGAAAATTGTTTTTTGAGAGGGATTCCTAAATTAGTTGAGGGACATATAGTTTCCAATAGGGAAACCCATTTGAAGCATAAATGTTACAGACCCTTTCTTTTAAAAAAACCACTTTTGATTTTAGAAGAATAGAAATCTGCAGTGCTTTAATACAGAAGCAACAAATCTTGAGATCTGTTTATGGAAATAGATTGAACTTTATATTGAGCACAGAAGTATTCTTGTTAGATTGACTAGGAAAAATAATACAAAAGAAAATAGGACCATTGAGATTTCTTCCTTAATTTGAATTTTTCAGTCCTGAGAATTTTGAGTTTTGATGATCACAAGATATAATCCTGGTGAGACACATTTTCTCTCCCTCGCTGGCAGCCATCCGATAGGGCTTCCAGGACACTGTGCACCTTGTCTACCTCGCCCCTCACTGGCTGCTTTTTAGGGTTACTCTCTTTATCCCAGAGAAGTTCCTTGGCCCTCTTCTCTTTTTCTCCACTCACTCCTTAGATGATCCTATCTTTAAATAGCTTTACCTACAGCTGTACCCTAAAAAGTCCCCTATAAATATCTGCAACTGGGATCTCTTCCTCTTAGGTCCATATTTGTATGTCAACTTGATTATTGACTTGGATGTCCAAAGGGTACCTCACACTTATTGTATTCAGTTGCACTCTTGATTTTTCCCCCCACGTCTCCTCCTCGTGATCTGCCCCAAGTCAAGAAGTTCCTCAGCCAAAACTCTGGAGTAGTCTTTAACCATTCTTTCACACTTTACATCTAATACATGAGACGGTGCTTCAGCTCTGCCCTCGGAATATGTCCACAGAGTACCTGCTGCTTTCATCTACACCTGTTATCAGCATATGAGTGTGACTTTCCCTTCAATCTCAACAACAAACTAGAGAGTTACACTAATCCGACAGGTGAAACATTATTTCAGTGCGGCTTTAATTTGCATTTCTCTAATGGAGGTTGAATGTCTTAATATGTTTAAGAACCTTCCATTTCCTTCTTTTGTTAACCATATGTTCATGTCATTTGCTCATTTTTTCCTTCTAGGGATATTGGACTTTTGTTAGAGATTTTATAGGGGTTCTCTGTGAATTAGGGAGATTAGCCGTTTGTAATGTGAGTTGCAAATATTCCCCTTCTTGTATTTTATTCTATTTGTCTTGACTAATCAGAATCCCCGAGTTGAAGGATACAGTATTTAACTTGTGAACAGGTGCAGCCAGACTACCTTTCAAAAAGACTATCAGTTTATGTCCCCCACATTTTATGTGCTTATTTTTATTTCTCTTCCATTCTTGCCCACTTGATTTTTAATTAATGAAACATTTTTTGATCTGATAATTAGCACAGATATTTTGTTGGATTTTATTTCTTGAATGAGTAATTTTAAATATATAATGGCATATTTTTCAATGATATCTTCATATTTAAATTTTTTTTATTTTATTTTAAAAATTACTTTCAGTGTTCTTTCTCAGTTCAGATCCATTATTAAGTATGCTGCAAATTTAACTTTTAAAAATGCCTCTTGCCACAAAGGTGTTTTTTAATGTTAATCTCTCCATCTGTTAAATGAATTTAAGGCCTGTCCTTAGTAATATACTATACATAGTAGTTGTTTTCCTTCGTCAGCCTTGAGTGACTTGGTTATATTTTGATGACCCTTTGTTTTATTTTGACCCTATGATCTAGTACCCTTTGTATATTCTTTGTAAGCCCCATTGGGGTGTGGACAAGATATTGGTAGTTATATCATAAAGAACTTGAACTTCATATGGTACTAGAAGCACTCTTTTTTATTTTTTTTTCTTTAAGATTTTTTTTTATTGGGGAGTTGGAATGGGAACAGCGCTGGGGAATTGGGGGAAGGGGAACAGGAAAGTTGCTATCCTTTTGTTCTTCAGTCTAGTTGTGGAGGACGTTGCTTCACTGGCCCAAGTTGGCACCATCATTGCGCTTTATCTGGGCGAGGCACATCAGTTGCCGGCTTCTGGACAGCCGCTCACTGCAGCTGCTGGCTGCTCACACTGGCTGCTGGCTACACACGGTAGCCCATGGCAACCCACTGCAGCAGGGGCTGCAGCCTACGCCGTCGCCGGTGACTCACGGCAGCCCAGCTCCAGG